AAACCCTAAGCCAAAGAACCCTAAGTACAAATTTGGCTGAAGACGGCCTGATGCTGCATCGCAAATAGAATCGCCATCTCATGGCATCTTTCATAGATGGATGCCTCGTCGGTCAGTTCTTGGAGCCCGTGCTCCGCCAAAAACCCCATGTAAAATGGTCCCTAAACCCTAAACCCTAAACCCTAAAACACAAACCGCTGGCTCTTGGGAAGAAACTCATCGAGATGCCTTGGCTGGGTAATGACTACTGCTACCTGGTAGTAGAGACGGCACACTCACCCACACTCCCAATATGCAGAGGCACTCGTTCCAGGCCTCGAGCCTGAAAGCCGCCGGATAGCTGGTCGGCCAAGTCCGGCCAGCGAAACTGCGAGACTTGCTCTCCTCCTCCTCATTATTTTTCTTCTTCCCATCATCACTTCTACGATTCAAGACAGCTCAAAATTTACCATGGTTTGCCAGCGCCAGACTAGCAGAGGAAAAAAGCGGTATACATATATTTTAGGGTTTAGGGTTTAGGGAGGTACTCGATGTTACCCTGAGAAGGAGGCTCGAGGTTGTGAACAAGGCATGGAAATCCTGAGCCCCAAACCCTGAACCCGAGTCTTCCTTTCAGGCCCCACGATGTAGTGCAGGGATAAACCCCTTACGAAAGCCCTTCAAGAAACCTCTGAAGCCTTACAAGACCCTGTAAAATAAACAATCCTGTACTAGCGTACCAAAAACCATGACATGTTATAGAAGCCTTCGAACCACTCGTATTCACATCCTACACGACCTTTGTAAAACCCTACAAACCAACAACATTACAAATACCCTTTAAAAACCTACACAAGCCTACAGCAGCCGCGTCAATACCTTTCAGCCCTAGAAACACCCATTAACTCTTTATTGATACCGAAAATCATATTTAGACTCCTGCTCTAACCCTAAACCCTCAACTACCCTGAACCCTAAAACAGACCTAACCCTAAACTTAAACCCTCAACTACCCTGAACCCTAAAACAGACTTAAACCCTAAACTTAAACCCTCAACTACCCTGAACCCTAAAACAGACCTAAACCCTAAACTTAAACCCTCAACTACCCTAAACCCTAAACCCTAGACAAGCCCTAAACCCTGAACCCTCAAGTGCGACATTTTGGAGTCTCGGGCTTTGCATACAACAAAAAGGCAAGCTATAAGGGTTTGGGGTTTAGGGTTTAAGGGGTTAGGGTTTAGGGTCTAGGGGGGCTTAGGGCTTACCGGGAAGAGAACCCTTACAAAACACTTCTGACAGTCCTTGTAGCAGCCTCATGTGTCAAAAAAGCCTACAATGCCCTCTGAAAACCCCTGTCTTAAACCCACTAAACCCTAAACCCGAACAACAATAATACTTAAAATACCATAAGAACAGAAGCAAGATCCTAAACCCTAAACCCTAAACCCTAAACCGCCTAAGGGCCTCGCCTCCTTGATCATGTGGGCCGCTTGTTGGGGAGCTAAGGACCCGAGCCCCATGTGAAGCGAAGGAGCCACTTCCTCCTGGAGCGGCTTAGGGGCTTTTGGGGGTTTTAGGGTCTTGGGGTTTGGGGTGTAAGAGTGTGCGTTTGGAGGTTTAGAGTTTTTTTTTGGTTTAGAGTTTTAGGGTTTAGGGTTTAGGAACTCGGGTTTGGGGCTTGGGTTTTATAGGGTGTTATTACGTCGGGTGTTGGTTTTAAAGGCTTGGTGTTTTGGGATTTAGGAATGTGGATTTTGGGTTTAGGGTTTAGGGTGTTGGGCTTACGGCGTTTAGGGTTTGTTGTTGGGTTTTTTGCTGCGCTTTGCAAGGGCTTGGGTGCTGAGGGCTTATGGTTGGTGTCTTTAGGGAGCTAGGCTGTAGGGTTTAAGGGCGTGGTGCCTCCCGGAGGTAGCGATCTCACCTAAACCCTAAACCCTAAACCCCTCGATTTGTCGAGTTCCAGGACCTTCAGTGGGGTCTGCGAGTGCTTCTCATCAGGCACTGAACTGATCAAAATTTGTCGACTCCACTTGCTGAAGGAAATCACTTTCAGTGGGCACAAACGACCGGAAGTCGGCGATCCGGATCTGGAACGGACTTGGCGCCCGCCTTTGCTTCTCGTACCACTGAACCAAATCTCCATACGACTCGAAGTTCGTGCTCCTGAAGTGCCATAAACCCTAAACCCTAAACCCTAAACCCTAAACCCCAGATCGGTTCTAGCTGAGAGGAGATCCCTCATTCTGCTGTCCAGGCCATCGCTGCAAGCGAGTGCTTCTTTTCCAACTGCTTTCGGCTGGAGAGGAACGGTTAACAGGGTTTAGGGTTTAGGGTTTAGGGTTTAGTGTTTAGGGTTTAGGGTTTAGGGTTTGGGGCTTTGTCCAAGAGCTCAAAGCCTTTTTTGCTTTCAGAAGATCTTTCAACTCATTCTACTATAAGGGCCTGCTACGGCTTGTATGAGGTATTCAGGTTTAAGGACTGCTGCGTGCCAATTTCATGAAACAAATATATGTGGCCTTATAGGCTTCAGGATTTGAAAGTTTAGGGCTTCTGCCTTTCAGGGGATCTTCAGATCGGATATTTAGGGCCCAAGAGTGGAACAGCTTTACATAAGAGCTTGAGACTGTCATGCCTCTGGGGGTTGTGATTTCACGCGAACGGTACCCTAAACCCTAAACCCTATGTGAACCTAAAGGTTTAGGCAGCTTCAAGTCCGCAGAGCTGTTGAAGGGTTTGAGAAGGGCATCTTGCTCATAGGTTTTGGTTGGCTTATGGGAAGCCAGAGACTCTAAAACCCCTTAATTAAGGACAATACCTTAAATGATGAGGGCATCGTAAGGTATACGCCTTAATCAAAGGGGTTTAGGTTGAACGGTTGGTATGAGATGTCTGGAACCACCTGGGACCTCTGAGAGGGCTCGTCTTGGTTCGGCAGAAGCAGCCAAAGCACACTGAAGCCCGGTCCTGGTTGGGCCAGTACCAGGCAGTGCACCTCCGTTGTTGTGACAGGGCGCTAGGCGCGCTGGCCGGGCGGCGCGGTGCGCCCACCGGCGCCTGCGGTGTGCGCTCGGAGGGCGCAGCCTCGTGCGCCGGCTGTGCGCTGGCCGGCCGCACCACGTGTGTGCTGCGCGGCCGTGCGCTGGCTGGGCGGGCGCTGGCCGGCCGTGAGTCGGGCCTGAAGGATGCGCCGGCACTGGCTGGTCGCGTCGCGCGAGCACTGCCTGGCCGAGCCGGATCTCGGGCGCTGGTTGGCCTGGAGGGCACCCTGGCGCTGAGGGGGCGCGAAGCTGTGCGAGCACTTGTGGGCCGTGATGGCTTGGCACTGGCGCTCGTTGGGCGCGAAGTTGCCTGTGCACTGGTCGGACGCGACGTTGATGTCCCCGTTCCTTGGCATGGAGGCTACGGTTGAAAACATTGGTCTGCAAGGCCAGCGCTACGCCTCGACTTGCAATGAAACCGAACTCCGCAAAAATTGGACATGGCTTCCGGTTCTTCGTAGTTTGGGAACAGTTCATTAGTTCCCAGAGACTCCAATATCCCTTAATTAAGGAATATACCTTAACTCATATCAAGGACCCTATTATGATTTAAGGTATATTTCTCAATAAAGGGATATTGGAGTCGCTGGGTTAGGACGTCTTGCAGCTCTCCAGGTCTACAACCAGAACGCCTACACAGTATTATGCTTCAGCAGATGCATATGAAACGAAAACCACCTTGTCCTTACCATTGCTCTTCCTACAAACATCCTGCAAAGGCAATCTATGCTTGAAACTCCCCAGCCCTAAACCCTAAACTCTAAACCCAAACCTCTAAACCCTAAACCCAAACTCCTGCACCCTATATACCTGAACTGCTAAACCCACAACCCAACACAACGTGCAAAAAACCCTGAAATCAGAGCTCGCTTCCCACAAGAACACACAAATGCAATGTAGGTGCTGTCATAGTCAGAGAATGGGGTGTTGGGACAGAAGCCGTAAGCACGGGTAGAGTTAGGGTGTTGGGGTAAACTATACTACACTGTACCATGAAAATGCTGTACTTTATGATTACGTAGAGACTATAAGGGACGCGCGTTTACCGACCCCCATATGGGACTTTCCGAAAATAGGGGACCCAAATATAGTACCCTAAATAATAGGATCCCTATTATAAGGGCCCCAAAATAAGGTACCCTAATTTTCTGAAACTCCCATATTGAAGAACCCCCCATTTTCGGCTTTCCAGTTAGGGCTTGGATGGATTCCAGAGACCTCCAGGCCCAGACCGTCTCTCGTTTTGGGGCTGCCTGAACCCTGAACCGATTGATACAGAAGACGGAATAATTACCATAATATAGGGGCTTTGATAGTTTGACAAGGGTTTTGGGGCCCATTCTTAGGGTTGACCGTATGATAATCAGTCCCAAAACATCCCAAAACCATGGCAACTCTAAACCCTAAACCCTTTCCTCTAGGATCCTCGAAAACTCTGCCGAAGCACGGGCGCTCGTCGGCCGCGACTCAGTTGCGCTGAGTGGCCGCGGCGTGGTCCCTGAAGCGTCAGCCGAGTCAGAAAGAGGGTTTAGGGTTTAGGGTTTAGGGCTCACGTTACGAGCCCTTGGCACCGGGACATGAGCATTCAGAGGAAGGAGGACGAAGTAGCTTCGTAGGCAAAAAGTCATTCATGCTCTTATTGTGGGTGCAAGCAATTATAGTCCTAGTGGTCCTAGCTGTCGTACCTAGAGCCTTGCTCACTACGTCCCTAAACCCGAGTAAGCCCTGCCTAAAGGATCAGTTGACCTGGCAAGTAGGGTGATGAACAGAACAAAACTTCTAAGTGCATAACCCCAATTGCGGTACTTATAACTTTTAACCTTACCTGCTAAATCCCACGATCCTTTGAGTAGCAGAGCGGCAAAACGGCCGCTTCCCCGCTGGCAGCCAGGGCGGCAGCGCGGGAACCTGGACGGCACCCCACCGAGTCGAAGACTCAGAAACTCCATTTTGAGCTCCTTGAGGGGTTTAGGGTTTAGGGTTTAGGGTTTAGGGTCTACGAGACACTTATGACGGCTCTGCAGAAGACCCTAAACCCTGAACCCTAAACCGTCAGGCCAAGAACATTTTTGGGGGGTCGAGTGTACGTTTGACTACGGAGGGATTCTGGCCATCGTTGAAGCCACGATTTTTGAATGAAAAGGTCTCGGAGCCTCTGGGCGCTTACTGGGGATTCGCGTTTTAGATCGATGGTCTCCTTGGGGTCTACTTAAAGAAGCATGGAATTAGGTAGGTCAGGTTGTAGGTACCTTAGTTGTGGCTTTAAGGAACTACAACCATCGCTACCTTACTACAACCCCACACTAAGTCCCCTGTACCTAGACCCAGTACCCTAAGGCTCATGGACCCCCATAGTGAAAGCCAAGACCTTAGCCCCCAAAGCCTAAAGCCCATAACAGCAAAAAGAGCCTTAGACCATATTCTAGACCCTAAACCCTAAACCCCAAACCCTAAACCCTAGACCCTCAGTGGGTAAGAGTAAGGTTCAAGGCTCCTTGGGTTGAGGCTTACGTCTTAAGACCGTACAACTGAAGAGGCCTACTTGCACGATCCAGCGCCGAAGCCCTCCTCCCCACCATGCGAAGAAGCTGAAACCCTAAACCCTAAACCCAAAAAACCAAAAAACCCTAAACCCTAAACCTTAAACCCTAAACCCTAAGCCCTAAACCCAAAAAAACCTAAACCCTAAATCTTAAACCCTGAGGGCTTCTGGGTTTGCGCTTTAGGGTTTAGGGTTCTAGGGTTTAGGGTTCAGGGTTTAGGGTTTAGGGTTTAGGGTTCAGCAGCTCCGGATCGAGCAGTCTCTAGTCCAGCTCGCTTTTCAGTTATAGAAGAATACCCACCCACCCAAAGAAACCCATAACATTAGAAGATAAAAACTCTTGTTCTTATTTCTCTTAAAAACCAATTTATACAATAAGCCGTTGAGCGAAACTTCAACAACACGACTCAATTACTCTTCAAGAATTTTTTGCTTATACTCGATCACTAGAAGATAAAAAATCTTGTTCTTATTTCTCTTAGAACCCAATTTTGTCCAAATTGATTTAGTAATAGACAAGTGGCTGCGCCAGCTAAACCCCAAAATCGTCCTGGGTTCGTAATTCTGGTCGTAAAATGTGTGTTTTAGATTGGGCTGGTGGCCGATCTCGGTGGGGACCCTTTCCCAAGATGTGGCCCCAACTAGAATCTCGGGGCGGACCCTATCCCAAGATGTGGCCCCCATCAAAATCCTAAATCCTAAACCTTAAATCTAAATCCTAGAAATGCCGGATTTTGCCACGTTAAATTCTCTTCGTAAAATGTGTGTTTGAGATTGGGCTGGTGGCCGATCTCGGGGGGGACCCTTTCCCAAGATGTGGCGCTCACTAAAATCCTAAATCCTAAATTCTAAACTCTAAATCCTAAATCCTAGATCCTAAATCCTAAATCCGTGATAACCCTAAATCTTAA